TTGATTTCAAGGTGATGATGATTTCAAGTTCTGAGATGTTCAAGCAACCGAAGAGATTCAAATGTTTTGGCAAGACATCCTAGCACAAAGAAGAAGAGCTGTCTCGAAGGGGTATGGGGAGTTGATTCGGGTTCTGACAAGGAACATTCAAGTGACGCTCCGACTTCAACCAAATTATGTAAAAAAAAATGCATTAAAGTTATTCAATACAATAAATCAAATGTTACGTGATCTAGCGGTCAAATGACTGATTTATTAAATTAAAAAAATATATACGTTGGAATAATGCAAGTCAAAATAAATATGGGAGAAACAAAGGCGTAGCTCACAATGGGAGCATAATATTAATCTGGACACGGCACATACACGATAACCTATTAGTTTTTTACAATTCTTTCGATTGATGTCCATTTTGTAAAAATTTTGAACTAGCGTGATATGTGCTTCGGGTCTTTGATCCATATAAATAGTTTTGAATTAAGCATGTTTGCTGACGTGCCTAAATTGAGGAGCCGAGAACAATCTTTGTGTAGTGAAGAGATTGACTTCCAGATGATCCAGGAGAATACCATCTGACGCTTTGCAGGCGAAGCCTTTCCACTTGCGGAAGAAATAAACATCCAATGGCTGGAAAAATCCCGTCTTTAGCCGGTATTTATCCCAGGTGACCCTTTGGAATAAATATATTTGCTTCAGTCTAAAGGAGGGACGTGAAAAACTGACAAAAGCATGAAGATGTCTACTGATGTGCTGATTCAAGGAAAAAAACTAATAATTTTTCAGATGTATCCCTGAGGGAATTTTTTTCTGGGAAATACGTTTTGCAAGAATTTATTTTGCTTCAGTGAATCGGGCAGTAGTAGGAGGTGAAAGTATGCACATAATTAGCTCTTGTGATGATTAGTTCGGGATAAGTCCATTGCGATGATCGTGGCAAACTGTTTGACCGGAACCTTTTCCTATAAAATATTTTCGCTGCAAGGTTGACAAATCAAACAATGGGTAATACATGACAATCTCTGATTTTTATGAGATTTTTAATAGAAGGTTATTATGTCCGAAAAGTCGGAAATGCCCCATCGGGTCAAAAGGTAAGATCCTACGGGGTGGTAAAAATGTGGAGTCACATCCAACACAATAATGTTTACTGGAGTTTTCCCTACGAGAAGACGCAGTTCATTCCGGTTCAGATCTTGATAACATCCAGCAGCACCGGGTGGTACATACGATTCACTCCTGCAAAGAATGGCATCTCAGCGAGACGACCGTGGCAACTAGTAATAGCGAATTGTGCCGGTTCCATGACTTCTAGCTCACTAGATCTAACACACGGACTTCTTTGAATACGTACAAGACAGAGTGCATGCTACAAAACCACGAAACATGAATAAAATGAAACCACATCATACAGGTGATCGAAGCCCGAAGGCACGATTTTCTCTGAATTCTTCCCACTCCCTGATTCTTCGATGCGACACACGTCGTCTATGCCACGCTAGTAGGTAGAGACTTTCAGCTTTCCATGTCTCTCAGTTTGACTAAGGCAAATATACTGTATATCTTTGAAAAAATCCCTCCCCGATATGGGTGCCACCAAGCGATGTACCTCTAAAGTCGGATTTTTTCTAAACTCTGCATCCTAATAGCAACATGTTTACGAAGTTTCAGATTTCTAACGTCTCTAGATTATGGTTAGAATAAGGGTCAGTCAGTTACTCAGATACGATCGTATACATATCGTCACCTCAGCACAATAAGGTTCTACCTGACATTTTCATGAAAAATGAGATGACATACACGTAACCCGCACGGAGAGTAGATTCGGGAGATGATTAATTATGTGGGAATCCCATCAAGAAAGGCTAGAATTAACGATTCTACAAGGTTCTATCTACAGTTCCTGGACGATATGTGAAGAGAAAACTCTAGAGACTTTTGATTGGTTTCTTATCCAAGGTAGACGGTCCTCTGTTGCCATCAGCCAATCAGATATCTTGTATTTCAGGTGTGTATTTCAATTCAAAGGTGAAAAGTAAAGTGGTTTTATCTGCAAAAAAATTCCGAAAAAGTATATTTCGTTCAGTGCTCATAGAACCTCGTCCCATTCATAGAAAATGACATTCAGGATTCCGGATTCAGGATAGTTAGTGATATCAAGAGGCGATTTCGCCCATTTCTATAACACGTGTCGAGGTCGAGCGTTCCTTAATTTTAGGGTAGGCCTAACCCTCTTGAAGCTGAATATTTTTGTATTTTTTTTTGTTCTTTTTTGTTTTTTGTTTGTTTTTGTTTTTCTTTTGTTATTTGACTATCCTAGTTGCTTACTGTCTAGTACCTAACTTCAACATTGCCCCTACCTTTTTGCCTGTCCATGAAAGCATCTAGTTTCTTCTTAAAGATAGTCACAGCGCGGNGCTCGTCCTACCCTGGATCCCGTGCGCCTCCGGTTTAACCCGCAACCTCTTGCCAATCCTTGAAATCCAGGAGATGGTCCCATAGTATGCTCTCCACGATCTTCCCTGGGATACTCGTGAGACTTACCGGCCTGTAATTTCCTGGATGACTCTTTTCGCCCTTCTTAAAGAGCGGTATGACGTTTGCTAGTCTCCAGTCCTTAAGTACTTCCCCGCCCGAAAAGCTGCTTTCGAATATAATTTTTAGCGGAACCGATATTTCTCTCGCGGTTTCCTTAATGACTCGCAGGAATCCCATCGGGGCCGGTCGTCTTGCCCACCTTTAACTTCCCTATCATGTTCACGATCGTCTCCTCGGTGATGGAAATATCCTCGATGCGCGCCGAGGTCACCTCCTCCAAAGTCACTCCACATTTTATGTAATTATGTAAAAGAAGAACTGATCTAAAAATACATATAATTTTCCGCACTTTAACTTGACGTTAACGTCACAGCAGAATCTCTAAGCTCTGTTCTTCTGTCTCTTTAGATATGGATCTCAAAAGCATTCCTCGATACCTAAAGGTGATACGATGAACTACAATGACGTGTTAAATAGAACGAAAATTTGGTGGTGTCAGATGATGTACTATGACTAAGGCTGCATTTTGAAATACAACATTCATGTTTTGATATATTTTCATGTTCCTTGAGCGAATGCTAGGAGGCTGAATTTCGTACCAATTTTTGTCAGAGAATAATTTGGAGATCTTGTTGGAGTCAGATAGAACCCTTTATCATAGGCCTTCCAAGAGGAAGTACCTATGAAGGTGGCTGTATTGTTCTATCTCACTTACGAACTGATAGGATGTTCAGGAACTGAAATGTATTGCGGCAATAAATTATTAAATTGCAAGACTTCATGAAGTATCACGTCTACAGCAAAATTTTAACTACATCAAATAATGTCACGTACAACCTGCAGAATCCTTTGAGGTTTGACCCTCTATTTCTCAAGTTAGGAACTTTGTCACATAGAACCTTGTTGAACTGAGGTGACGATATATTAGATTACAAAGTATCACGCCCGGATGCAATAGCACACTGAAGGGACAGACGAGATCCAGAATGAAGGTGAAAACGTACGTGAAGGTGGGAGCAAAATAATTTCAAAGAAATGGCATCCTGCTTTCCTTACTAGGGGATATAATTCTCACCTATTTGGAGTTGATATACGCGGGCATATCAAGTATTTCATGCAACGGCCTGCTTATGAGCAAACTATTCAATATTTACAGAATGAGTTCCAGTTTGATTTCTTTGGAAGTAGTTACCTTGACTCGCGATACACTTTTCCCAACTTTCGTCAACAGCTTAGAACACTGATCGTCCCCCATTATTGGCAACCTCCGACCACGCATTTGTCCGAGCTGATTGCAAAGCAGTTATGTCGCTGAAGCGGAAACCCCTCACGATGCTCTTAATTATGGAAAGATGGAGGATGTGGGAGCAACGCCACGCCTGGACTGGTTAGAAATCCCAATATGCTGCTATGGTACTGATTGGTTGCCTACAGTTGCAGCTGACGAACACAGAAAGATCCTGCAAAATTTCCTTATAATCTGAAACATAAATTCTATACAAACAGGGTGGGCCATGAATATTCACACCAAGTCGAACTGTTGCATTTCCTTTAGCAACGACTTATGATGGAATCAATTGGATTTCAGCAAGACACAAGGGCTCTCATTAAAAATAGACAGAACATGTTCAATGTGTCCCTTTTCCTCTTGATGACAACCTTAAATCTTTGAGTCTTGTCAGTTGATTGAACTTAAAGGACACGGTTTCACACCTCTTTCAGCACGAACCTTGACTGGTTCAGGTCTTTGGAATTCGTTCATGAGCACTTGCTTCCAGCAGACATCGCATACAGTAATCCATAGGGTTAGGGTCAGAGTTGTATAGGGGTTATTCGTATATTCGATCATTTATGCCTATGGATTAGCCAGGGGATTTGTTTACTCTCTAATCACATTTAGAAGAGGTTATCATGTTAAAACAGTAAAAGTTGACCAACAAAGAGACACCCACATAGAGATACAATAATTTTTTTGCTGTTTTTAGGCTGAAATAGATTTTAAAAATGTACAAGTGCTATGGATACTAATGGCCATACATTCTATATCTAAATGGTTTCTTCCAGGGAAGCAAAATAGACAAGGTTCATGAAGCCATCCCAGGAAAAGCGGATTGAAGCGATAAGTGGAGAAAATAGCCATTGCAGAAATGCGTTGGGTCAAACTTCAAATCACATCCAACATATCAAAATTGCATATCTGCACATCTTCGGATGGAAAGTAGCTCTTTAAAACTCACTGCGGAAGGCCGTGTAAAGGCAAATAACAAAATTGGCAGAAAATGGACAGGACTGGCACAAAGAGAGGAGTGTACCAATAGTTCTTGTAGGAGAAAGACCAAGAGAAACTGAAACATATAGTTTGGGGGATAGGCCGTTCCTGAATATATGTGTAATAGCGTGCAGGAAACACGATTCTCTCGATAAATATAGACATTTCCCAATTTCAGATATATCACATAAGCCCTTCAATTCATCCCCTGGCAAAACTCGATGTCGCAATATTCCCAAGCAGGATCGGTGCCCTCTCCGTTGTAACACCAAGGTCCCTTTTTTTCTAAATCGGGATTTCGACAGTAGTTATGACGATCGTCCAAGCCAGGATCGGGGAATACTGGGAGGCGGAGGATGGTCGAATGCTCGTTTGGCGTTTGGCTTAGCCAGGGCTGGCACTTCTTCCCCGACAGAGTCACATTCTTGAATCCTGAGTACTCTCGTCCATGTTTCGTTTGAATGCATTCCGCAGGCTCTGCGCAGTCAAGAAACGGGCCGAATACATAGGGGCTGCATAACGCCATAGCGGTAAAATGTAGCCATTTGGCCAATAAACGAACCGCAATGAATGCAATGCTGAATATGTACGACGGGCGTTCAAAAGGCATTGGCTCATACACCTACCTCCTGTATTATTGACTACAGAAGAATAAGTCAATTTTTAATTAATAATGGCATGCATGAATTATGCATGAGTATGCATTAATGAATAACGATGTTATTTTCTCGTTTCTCTGCGCATATAATTTCATAGGGAATGGGCTTTTTTATTAGACCTAGTTACACCCACTAAGCTCTACTACTACGAAGTAGCTGCTTTAGATGATGTGATTGATATGACGAATAGACATGATACTTTGCATTCACCTTGAAGGTATACCGAGGTCTGTTCGTCGTGACTTCTTGAATCTTTGTTAGGACTCTGTCCCTTAGATACTTACTAGCTGCCTGTAAGCTGCTCACTCCAAGAAATGAATGAGGGACCAGAAAAGCAACCGCACTTCAAGGAATTCCCAATATTGTAGGATCCCAATGAACTATACTCTCTTCTCGAGGCAATAATTGAAGAGATTGAATGTGTAAAGGTGCATGATGTAGTTGATACGGAAGCTATTTCGAGGGGGCAACTGAGGGCATTGGTCGCTCCATCCTCTGAATGAGTAAGATTTTTACTCGGTGGATGCCCTCCATGCTCACAAATTCATAGAAAAAAGAACAGATGGAAATTTGTTTCATGAATATCACTCAAGTTGAAAATACAAATAAATTTGAAGCATTATGTCTTAGTTATCGCTGATAATCGAACCTGGATTTAGTTCTTCAGGCCAGGGAAGTGGTTAGGAGGCAAGCACACTTATGGGTAATTGATTCACAACCGGTCACTCCGACATGGCAGATGATTATGTGTTTGGTGCTTTCTGGAATTTTTGATCTCATAAATGCTTCATAAGTCACGTTTCAGTTACGAAAGGGATACATATTGCAGGGCGATTTTAGTTTGGAATGATACTATGAGAAGTTGAAAGGTTGCTAGAGGGAGATGCGCTAAGTCAGCATCAGGAGGGTTAAAGCTTCTGCCTGGCAATAGCCAAGTCACAACTCGAAAGTTTTTTAACACTGGTGACAGATAATGAGGCGATACCATCCCACCCAAGCGACTTCTTGTTGCTATCAACTCTCAAGCCTGAGCTGACAGGGAAGTTCCCTATGGCTTGGTATGATCTGGAAAGTGCAAATATTCATTGCACCAAACCGCACCCAGATTAGACTATTCAAAATGCAATCATTGTTAGATTTCGATAATCATTAGGTCAATTACCTTCCATCAACCCCTTTCTGTAGCAAAAGTCAACCTCCTCGTATGCCTCTCTGAGAGCATGAACAGCAAGGATGTTTGATATTTTTTTCCCTCTCATCACAGAATTTCTCCAGCAAATTTGAAGCTCCATCTCCCCGTGGTTGTCGAGAACACTGAACCTCGCATTTCGAAGATGTGAATTTCATTCCGTTTCTTTTCACCCCCCCCCTAGTTAGCCACTCGTGGGGACTTTTCGGAGGAAAGAGAGGAACCATAAGAAATATATTGACTCGTATATGACGAATAATGTTTTTTTTTCTTGTTTGCGATGCTTCATTTCGCCATTAAAAAATATAATTAGCTGTCGTTCAATTAGGCTTAGAGTGCTTGCTCCAGTACCTTCACCCAGTGTTGCCCGATATTATGTCAAAATTATGCCCGATTCAATACTTTTAGCACTCGTATTGACGTCTGGATTTTCTGTTTTTTTTCATGTATTTACATTTTCGGGCTGAGTTCATGATTTGAGGTAAGAATGAAGTGGCGGTCAGCAGTGATTGATAGATGTGGTGGGATTTGAAGATATCTTAGTCGCGCATCCCTGAATTAACAGAATGATGCGGACAATGGATTCCATGCTTCCTGGAGGCACTTCCTCCTTAGGCCGATTCGAGATGGTTCGAGGAACTCCAGATAAGCATAACGTTACTTGTCCCACTGAAGTGATTCAAGAAACGCGAAGTAGGTCTCAAATCGGTCAGTTGTAAGTCCTCAACGACATGTCTCGAAGAGGTTCAAAGAATATCCTTAAAAAGGGGGATGTTTTGGTGATCAAGGGGCACCTTATCTGAGCGCCCAAAAGTTGCTCATCTTTGTATATTGAACATCGAAAACCTCAGAATCAGAACAGAATTTAAATGTCCTCGAGAGCATTAATGTGATTTTTGGGCATTGTCACATGTCTACGAGAAATGAAGCACCCAAATGTGGGGGAGTCCCAGTCTCAGAAACATCAACGGCTAGCATCGTACATCAGCTCATTCGAATGGAGGAAGGCAGGGAACATGCATCAAACAACTAAGTCACGATTAGAAAATCGCCTTCTTTTAATGCTTGCCCCCGGTCACATAGATCATATCTTACATTTTTTTGTCATCTACCAATGCGCCAGCGATATGGGAAAACAATACGACCGTTTAAAGAGCCTTGCGCTCGTCGGCTTCCATGCCTCGTTCGTATTTACGTTCAAAGGACTGAAGGTGATATAAGCAGTGACGAAAGAGAACGTCATTCTGCAATTCTGATTATTTTGCATTTTGAGAGATGAACCCCTACAAGGATAGTATGGCGACGAACTGACGAATCGTCATGGACGTATTTCGTCATGCCCTTGTGAAATCCCTAGATTCACGGTAGTAGGCGGGAGGCACTGCTGTTGGCGACGCCTGCGTTTTCCATTAGAGTACCACGACAACTCTGTCTCCTAGTCCAACTGAAAGATTTTGAGATGAGAGCGAATCTCTGATTTCGCGTCAAAGTTGCCTCCCCTCCCTTTTATGAGTCCGATATATAAATGTCACTTCAGGAAGTCTCATCCTTGGATGACAAGGACGACTTCTGTTGAAACTCCCAATTCAAGGCTCGAAGCGTTAGGCCTGTAGAAGTGTCGCACACAGATACGCATTTGTCACTCGACCTAGCCAGCGGTCATGATCGCGCACGCTGTATATTGAACCTCCGGACCTTTGGACTTGTTTCGCAACCGCGGTCGTTTGGTTTCAGTCATCTTCTTCACGAAAGATGAATACGGAGGCCTCGTTGAACGCTACTTGTAAGTGTTAGAGAGAAAACATTAATGCAAAGAATTGAATTTGCGAAAGTGATATTTATACGATTGGATGAAATCGAATTTCATGATTTTCTTTAAACTTCGATTTTTTTAAATAATGAAGTGAGATGGGCTGAATTATGTAAGAATCGGTTAGTACAAAAATGTGTTAAGGAACAAACGGAAAGCGACAGAGAAAATATAAACAGTACAACCCCTGGCATAAAACCTTAATATATTAAAGTTCATTAAAAGTGTCCATCAACCCAGGGATATTTCATTGCTGATTCAAAGATCTAAAAACCCGATTAAAGAAGCTCACTGACGAAAGGGAATTCAGACCTTTGGGACCATAGCAGAGCGGGATGTCACAGTACTCCCAGGTGTTATTCCTAATGGATACGGAGCACCAGGGTCGCTTCATCGAGCCATAATTCCGGCAGAAGTTATTTTTGTCTGAGATTAGATTGTTTGGTTCAGCTGATTTCATCCATTCATTGAAAAAATCCAGAATCTTCTGAGTCGGTCTAGGGGGCTGGCGATCTTGGAATGGTAGATGGGAGAAAAGTGATATTGGTAAGCTTTGAACTTCCAAGTATTTCCAGCGTTCACATATCTTCCCTGTCTCTGTCTTATTCTCTTCGCCGTAGTATTCCTTCCCCATCTTCGTAATACGACACTTTCCGTAATTGGGATGCATTACTCCTCCGCCTATGGTAAAAGGGTAATCAATTATTGGACCCTTCTGTGTATGTGAATAGGTAACAGAGGAGGACCATGCTCCCCAAAATAAAAAGTGCCTTCATTCCATTTACTTGATATACGGTAAGCATTAATGCATAGTATTGTAAAATCTATGTGCTTCACTCGATGGAGTTGGTGGATGTTGAGGCAGTGGAGCAATGGAGAACTTAACGACTTGTAAAATAGCCTAATGGGTAATAGTGAAGTATCCGATTATAATCTGAATGCTCATAATTAGTAATCAATTCATAAATTTTCAATAGATTCAATGTCTATGTATGTATGAATAGGGACAACCATTTCTGAGAGGGAATGTTTGTCTTCAGAATAGGACAAAATGGATCCTGCGCGCGGGCCGCCAGTTTGACACCCCTAATATAGCCGATCGCACACGTGTGAGCTGGATCCGCTTCGCGCGTCAGGAAATTTCAACAGACATGAGGAATTCCGGGTTGGGATGACTTCCGAAGTGGACTACCCGCAGAATGTTGCAAGATATATATCACGTGAACATACTGTATGAATACGTTACAATTATATATGTTTCAGCCGAAAGAGTGTGAGTGTTTCATATTAATGTGTTCAAATAATAGTTACGTTTTATTTGAGGATTCAAGAGCAGGGATGTCCTGCGCCCGCCTGAGCCATAGCGTCTGCTAGGTATACTCTGTCCTTCCCAGGCATGGACATTGTACTCGAGTCAGGTTTTATTACGCTCTTCTTGTTTAGCCTTCGTTGTCCTGATGAGGCCTTCACCGCGCTGGCACGGTTAGTAGACCTCCATTTTTTTCCCTCCAGTTCGGTTAAAGGCCAAAGAGGTCAACCTGTTTTGGGAAATGATGGTTCAGTTGGGTTAAGAAAGGGTCGCTGCCTTTGGCCACGATTATTTTCTAATCCAACTGCTGACGCTTCCATCTATCCCATGACGCCACGGTCGTGTTAGCATGCTCAGTGCTCTCATAGGTCACTGCGTTCCGTCAGTCACTAAATGCAACAAGAGAGAAAGACCCTCTGAAAGCGTATTCGGTCGCACCAAGCAAGAAAATTGATTGCCAAACGAACTGCCCGCCCATGTCGGGTCGGTTCAATAGAGTTCATCCTCATCCAGTGCATGGCTCGAAATCATACCTCATCCAATGCCAGGGTGCTCTAAATTTCAACTATATGCCTCACTTGAATGCTACAAGACGGACATGGCTGTGAATTTGCATGAATCCAGTTGAGGGTTCCCTGATGACGTAAGGCATCACTTATTATTGATCCAAAGTGTGGCCCTTTGAATTCGGAATGTTATCCTATTCGTAATTAATTTTCTCTTGATGCTAATGACAAATTACACCTGAGTTCTTGATGTCTGTTGAAACGTTGTTACAAGCGAAGCGGATCCCACACGCGGGTGTGGTCTATTTCATCTCATGTTATCCTGAGCCTAAAAGGACTTTCGGAGGAAGCGGTACTGTGCATATGCATGATCCTATTCTTAAGACAAACATTCCCTCTCAGTAATTGTTGTCCCTATTCATGCATACATAGACATTGAATCTATCGAATATTTATGCATTGAGTACTAATTATGAGCATTCAGATTATAATCGGATACTTCACTATTACCCATTAGGCTATTTTACAAGTTGTTAAGTTCTCCATTGCTCCACTGCCTCAACATCCACCAACTCCATCGAGTGAAGCACATAGATTTTACAATACTATGCATTAATGCTTACCGTATGGCTTACTCGCTATGGTTTGGCCTTGGGCTTTCTATTGTCCGACATAGTTTATTCATTCATTAATTTATTTTCAAGGTGGCTAAAACGTATTAAAAGTATGTGCCTGTAGATGTGCATCAAGAGAGAACGAACCGATATTTTATCGAAATACATTTTTGTTTCTTGTTCATTCTACGATTGTTTCTTGTGTGGATAATTTCAAATCTCATTATTTTGAATGAGGGATCATATTTGAAATGTAGGATATACACTCAGCAATCAAAAGGGTACTTCTGAGCTAATTTTCAAATTCATTAAGTTCTCTCTTTCATTGATTCAGAAATATTCTGGAAATTGCACCGTTTGGAAAATATACCCTTAATGGTTTTATCTAAAAAGAATGAATAATACAGGGTATCTCAAAAAATGCATGCACACTAATAATAAGATAATATGTATTAAATAATTAAGAGAGGTACAATGTTCAGTGTGTGGAGAAGCAAGGGTTGGAATTGCATAGTCGACTTTCACAGATGTTCAATTTGTTCTCCGGTAGCATTCAGGCACTGTTGACAGTTGACTATTGGTGAGGTCTATCAGAACATTGTGCATTACCGTACTGGCAATGTTCTGGGAGACCATGCACTGTACCATCAGCATCAAACTTATAAGGAATCCATGAATCTTTGATGTATTAGAATTTTCAAGGATTTCTGATAAGTTTGATGTTGATGGTACAGTGCATGGTCTCTGAGAACATTGCCAGTACGGTAATGCACAAACAATGTTCTGATAGACCTCACCAACAGTCAACTGTCAACAGTGCCTGGATGCTAAAGGTGAACAATTTGAACATCTGTGATATTGCACTATGCAATTCAAAGGCTTGCTTCTCCACACACTGAACATTGTACCTCTCTGAATTACTTAACATATATTTATTATTGTTAAAGTGTGTATACATTTTTGAGACACCATGTCTATACATATATTTTTTACTGAAGTAAGTAGTCGGAGAACTAGATACGTACATACCATGCTGCAGCCTTATTCGTTTGCTCTTTTTGCTGGTGCAAACATATTTGGAAAAGTCAATGTAACCAAAAGCTGTGCCCTGAGGGTATGCACCTCAAAACTTGAATTTTCTTTCAGAACTTACTATCACCTCTGTTATTGATGTGCCAAGTTTTAACATTCTATTTCTGCCCAATTCGGGTAGGAGAAATAAAAATACTTGAAAATATCACCAAACAAAAACTTGCCTCCACGAGCATACTTTTGTTTGGGGATCTGAAGCTTCAAAATTTCCTGAACTCAGAGTGTCAGTTGGTAACGATAAGAAAATTGGTTGACGTTGGTGTCTTTAAATCGATTCCTCTGTGTGAATGCCGATTTTCGTACAAATACGAGATGGTCAGGCTAACTCGCTGGTTGATTTGGCATGGAATGACCCGTGTGTATGTGGAGAAGGAAAAGGCACAAACGCATGAGGTATTTTCGGCAGGTAATCATTATTTATTATGCAAAGGAAAACACATGAATGTTATATCGATCTCGATGGGTAGAAACCCATCGAGACATTCTCTTCTTCACCATCTGTGTTTGTGTATGACGAAACCTCGAAAAGCCCTTTCGATTGGTTATTGGCCCAATTGTTGCCTCTATTTTTTTCAGGTAGCATCTCTGCCCGACTTTGCAGCATGTATTGTTCTGGTCTTCGTCGTCCAAATGCTACATATGTTTCAGGAAGGTGCTGCACGCGTTTGACAGCTGCCTTGCATGCAGAGTGGTCATATTCTGTCGGATTTAAGGAAGGAGAATTTGCTGACGGCAATTTCACGTGAACGTTAAGTCTGTCATCCGGGACTAAAGCTCGCATGCGGGGCAGAGTAGTATCCAAGACGTCATGAATTGCGTGATTTGGTGCCAAATCCAGTGTATACTGTATATATCAATTGTTCCTCGAAGAATTCCTGAAACGTAGACGATGTGCCACGTTTCTGTTGCTCATTTGCTGTATAAGATTATTCCAGACAATGAAACGAACATGGACTCGTCCTGGAGGACTCGCATCAAGGACCAGCCAATTTCGAATATTCACTTCCAATTTGTCATCATGGATAATAATGCACCAAATAAAACAAGTCCCATATGACTTTGCTAACGTTCGCGCGACGTTTCTGCAGGTACATTCTCATTTCTTGAATCCGACAGATTGATATGGTGCCAAAGGAGAACGATGGGTAGAATCAGTGTCAATGTTCATGTATCTCCCTGTGCCTAATAAAATAAGAAGAATTCGTCCAAAATATCCTACGCGCGTGTGCCCTTTCCTTCATTATTCCCCATGCCCGTGTTAAGTACGAAAAACAGGAGATTCCCTTGCGCTACCGAGTTTGAAAAGACTCATGCTGAAATGCGTATTATCATATGATACATATTTTTTAAATCTGGATCTACTTCTTAAAAAATGATGTCGAATTTAGCTAAAACGGAAAAGAATATGGAATGAGATAATAATATATAATTATATATGAGATGAATAATGAGATGAATACTATAGAATGAGATATTAGACTTTCGTTTTAGACATACAGTATAGGAAGGAAAATAAGAAAATACACCTTATATAACAAAGCTGAACCATAGGTGGATTTTCTATACTGCAAATGTGGTTCAGTTATGTTGACTCCCATAAAATATAATGGGGTGGTGATATTAGAAAAATTATTAAATTTTGAAAATACATATTTTTCAGGTTTCTTCTAACCCGTATTTTCTTAGTAACGATTCTACTGTTTCAGACCTTCCATATGAGCTATTACACGCATTTCTAGCTGGTGCCGTTTGATAGTTATGAAATTCCCTTTCCAGTGGCACGTGCCTGAAAATTGACATTTTCAAAATGCATATATTCTTTATCAATGGAAAGAAACATGAAACATTTCGGAATTTGGAGTTTCATGAAAGACATGTTAACTCTTAAAATTTCCCATTTTTTTGAGATGGTGGAGCGTGATCCCTAGGTCAGTTGGCATCGAATGGCTGGCAATGAAGTGGTTTTTGGGGTATAATTATGAAATATTGTTTGAGGCATATGCCCTCAGTATACTGTATATATTTTAGGTGACAATAAATTCTTAGAATTATTGCACATAGAACAATTGAAATACAGGAAGGCAAACTTTTGTACTTGCGTGATTCGGCTAATTCCGATTCCATGTTTTTTTTTTACGTTTTGGTCCATCCCCTGAAAGCACAGTTTCTGATAGGAACGCGTTTGGAAATAAATGTTTGTCCCATTGAAGCTGGAAAATACTGGAAGTGGGACATGTAATTACACACAACCTGGAGTAACTCGAGGCCACAATGGAAAATGCTGATGCCTCAAGGAGTTGTACTACATTGTAGGTGTCAGAACCAAAATATATTCTTTAAATATATTAGAAGTGTCCTTGTAGCCTAGAGAGTCAAAAACGCGTCCATAACGAGTTTGTTTGCCAAAAATGCAAACGGCCTCGCTATTAAGGAGATATACTCGATTGTGTTTCGATTTTGATATCTCACTTGACTTGTATTCATCTCCAGACTCGAGGGTTCTTTGAGAAGCGTCGAAGTCGCAAAAGGATACATCGCAATACTCCCACTTCATTTCGGGCTTTCGGGGATTCTTGATGCTGCACCAAGGACCTCCGGGGTTCCCGTTCGGATTCCGACAGAAATTGTGACTGTTAGTGAGTTCATCTGAGAATGATCCTTTACGGGTCCCACGGATCCTGTCCCCATCACTGCTCTCTCGATTAAGCCACGGAATGCAATCGAACCCAGAGATGGTCTTGTCCTTCACGCCTACATACTCCCCTCCCTTTTGGCTCAACTTGCACTCTGGAGCGCCTATACGTACAAAAACAGGAGCGGGCTATTAGTTTCGGAATGCGTATACCTAAAGAGTATAATTATTGTAACTGTAGGTAACGTTGTTCATGAACCCTTTAATATGGCTCCATAAAATCATATTAATACTACTAGGATTAATTTGACTTTGTCTGCAGCAATTAATCATTATCCCCTTGTTGTGTGCACTTTTCATTCATCAGGTTGGAGAGGAAAATACATAGAAATTGATGAAGCTTCATATATTGTATCAGTGTAATGAGTCGTGGGTACCTCGGGTGAAAATTATCGTGGCTTTTAGAGACTTTATTAGGGGAATGAACCAAAACGTTGATTCTCATTCAACACAAGTTAAGACATATCTTCAAAACCAATTTTAAAGTGACAATCGATTCAAAGGTGTTTGAAGAAATTCCATTAAATCGTTAGCATACTGCGCCAAAAAAGGAACAGGTGGAAGAATGTGCAAAATCTGAAGAAAATGTTGAACGCGTTCGCGAGCACTTGATTGCGAGCCTCAGAATAGGTCCCAGAATTGAACGTAACGTCGGTAAGTTCGATTACTTTCAAATGTGTTCTTACTTTTTCCATTTCTACCTATTCGACTAACCCGACGTGCTTGCAAATGTAACCCTATGCGGTAACGGCAACGTTGTAAAGTATGGTTACTCCAAAGTAACTCCATAGCCTTTCTAGGGCTGTAGAAAGAAGGACAAAATACAGTTAATATATTTCATAGGTTTCAAGAAGTGCATGAAAAATCTGCGACTTCAAAACAAACCTTTTACAACCGTATGTTTACTTTTAAAGTGGTATTGAAATAACCGACGATGCAACATTCTCTGTTAGACGAAGCGCCTCCTTTGCAGTAGAAAATATCGTAGCTATTGAACGATTAGTCATGCACATCAGACGAATGACGAAACAGGAGTTTGTCTTGGCAGTTGGAATCTCAGCTGGTTTCATTGATGCCATTTTCAAATCAGAAAATCTGCAGGCACTCCACTCGGCGGTGCAACATTGGGTTTGGTCAACTTCAAAACATGGTTCCAATAGTAGCCGAGCAAATTCCCATGTCCTTGGTGCAAGTGTGTGTCAATTGATGGTGACTTTATTCAACAAGTACAGTGAAGCTTGCTTGACAATGCTTTTTTCTTACCTCAAGTTGAGGTAATATGTCCTCCTATGACAAAGCTTGCACCTTTCCATATGTAGTATCTCACCATTATTAGTTGATGAACAACTACGAAACTATTAAACCTTAATACACTTGCATCTATTCCCTTCAATCTCTGATAAATTTACACAATAACCAAGTTCATTGTTGATCAAGTCAATCGTAAACATCACCTTCAATGCTAACCAGCAATTTCACGTTGGGAATGAGAACGATATATTTAGTTCATTCTGAGTAGATGATGTGAATAGCTTATCCCTTCGTAAGAGTAAATTCACTTTACCACGGCACAATCCAAAATTCCTCCTGCTAAAGACATGTTTAAAATCCTAGCTTGATTGTTATTAGGGTCCACCCCCGCCTTCCTGGAGTCCAGATGAAGTTGATGGAATTTCTTACCGAAATCATCGCAGGGACGAATCCAGCAAAACTCCACCTTCAAGCCATTCTCGTCGACAAAGCACCAGGGCTTGGCCAACCCAGTTGGGTTTCGGCAGAAGTTTTTGTGCAAGGATGGATCCTGGTTTAAGAAGTGCTCCTCGAAGAACAAGACTTTATTGAACCCAGCATTAGCGGACTCGTACGAAGAAGTCACATTCCCGGAATCCCACCTGAGGCATGATTTCCCTGTCTCGGTGACGTTGGTTGTCCCAATGTACTCCATCGCCTTCTCAGATAGTCGACACTCAGGATAAATAGCCGCTAATATGAGAACAGCCATCAAACACCGGATGCTTTAGTGGAAATGATTATAGTATTGCATCACAAATGGCCTACTTATGTACCCAAACCACTTTGAAAAAGTTCATGTACTCATTTTCCTGTCTTTGACGAAATAACCACAATAAATTCAGAATTAATGCACCAATAATTTACAGGAGAGTGAGAAAGCGGTTAGGCTGTCGGACTTCACCGGAAGGCAAATTACCGCACGAGGCACCCTGATCCTTCCACGTTGATGTCATGGGCAGCGAAAAGCAATGAAAGCAACCAGCAGAGCTGAGACTACCTTATATTCTTTCTACTTTGATTCCGCTGTTGTGGTCTTCGCCTAAGCCGTAGTAACACCATCCGCATATAAGTGGTATTTTGGCCTATCTGGCTTTGAATTCATCTACCTTACCCTGACGCGCGAGGCCTACAAGACGATATATTCGTGTTGAAGCGCTACTTCTCCTCATCAAGGGAAGCAGGAAGGAATACCATGTTCTCTCCAGAGCACCCATATTTCCTGATTAATTCAATTCATGGCAATCCGAGCATATCACCGAGTGATTTCCTACGGATGCTTCGCGAAGAGTTCCCTATGCGGTGGAATATATATATGTCAGGATATGAAGACTCGAATCTGATGGATCAATTGGTGAGAAACAAGATCAGTGCATTGTAACGGAGCGCGACAGCAGTGAGGTTATGATTCCACAGCCACCAGTTAATAGCAGAATCTTGAACTTAGGTTGTAAACCAATCATTTCGGTCCAATTCCAGTGTTGCAAAATAAAAGTTAGGAAATCTATGGGTTTCGTCCAATCGCCATCGTCCGGACCATCCCGTGTTTGGCTCGGCATGGGTGGATGAACAGATGCTTCCTGAACAAAAATAATGCGGATACGCGCATTTCAAACTCCGCCCTACCTAACCCTCACAGTAGTATAAAAAGGGTAGGTTTGGCGGGCTGGCGCAGCCTGGCTCTGCCTGGCGCAATATCTTACCATATAACCATAATTCCATACGATTTAACCTCAGGTTATCATTGATTTATATGAGTACTCGGTGAATTAACGTTAAATTATCGGCTGCACGATGATTCGCATGTACCTTTATGAAGCGATTTTTCGATTTGGTAAATATTATGTCATGAATCTTGCGTCATAAAATCCCAGTTTAATTGTCCCTCGGCATTACCGTTTTGCATGAGGGAAGTCAATAGGGCCGGATTCCATTATGCCAACGTGTATGGACACGTTATCTCCCGATGACAGATTGA